TACAAAATGTAAAATGTTTCATTTGCGCTTTGCCTCCTCACCGCAATAAAACCATAGAGGTAACTCTAAGACAAGAAGGTCCCGAAATAACGTTCTCAACTTTTTGGCTCAGCTCTGGTACTCTCTTCGGTCCCAAGCTAATCGATTCACCCCTCGAAACACAGGAAAAACCAATAACCCCTCATTTTATCTGTCAAATTTTCATAGCGAATCAAAACATACATTGCGTAGTACTAGAATTTCGACTAGAATGGGGAACGTTAATCGTTTGCTTGGGACCAATAGCACAAACGAAGTGACAGACGGAGCGGCTCGAAAACTTTGGTGACTAACCTGCTATTGCAATTTTTCAGTGTACCACATGGCAACACCACTACTACTAGATTGTACCACATGGCAACACTACTGCTAGATTGAACTAGCATTTTCACCAAATGTACTAGAATGTTTTGGTTCTGTCTCTTTCACTCTACTCAAAACTGAAATGCATAATAAAATGACAAAATGATACGCACTCTTTGCACACTGTCAAAGAATCATTGTACACAAAATCAACTTTGTTCAAATCAAAACAAAAAAACTAACCCATCTGGTGGATGATGGCACAAGCTTCCAAGAAAATTCTATTACAGTGAACCACATTATTTAAATGGATTTCTTCGCCAGTTAGTCGTCTGTCACTTCGTTTGTGCCAAAAGGCTAGTCAAGTAGTGAGCCAATTTAAAATCGTTAGTTTCGTATTGATTGTTGATAAAACTGCGTTACGCGTTTATTCGTTCATTATCCTTTGGGTTTTTTTTTCCAAAAAACTACTTTCAGCCTGGCGGCTGTTGTTATTTTTCCTGTCTGGTTTTTCCCAAAATTCTGGCGTCATTTTATTACGGTTTTGTTGGTCAATATCGATAACAAGTCTGTATCGCGTTCGTAACATGGGCGAAATATGAGACTTATCTAAATAGAATATATGTTGGTCTCGAAGGCTTCAAATTTGAGGATTGGACAGATATGTACTGCCCATAAAAGCGTATCAGTCCCATCTGGAAAACAGCAACCACAGAAAAACTATGTGGAAAATCTATTTCTCCACATGCTCTTATGGATTGGTATTTTTCACGATATTTTCTGAACAAAACATATAACTTTTAGTGCACAATGTAAAATACCAGTAGTTTACAATCGATTTTGATGGATAACTTATATCTGGGGCTGTTATGCTTTTATGGGCAGTGCAGTTGAAAACTGACATGATGTATTTTTTTGCATCTTTTTCAAAAACAATGTCCTTGAATTTCTCACACGCTATGACAATAGATGTCAATTGGTAGTAGTGAAAGTATAGGATGAGAAAGACTAATAACCAATTATTCGCAGTTTATAGTGTTGTTGACTCAAATTTGATGAAAATGCATATGTTATGCTGTTAAAGGCAATATTTTTTTTTTTCAAATTCCAGGTCACTTGGATTGGGTGTAACATGGCGCCTATTGCTGATCTTTACTAATGTCGTTTTCGTTTTTACTACACTACACCGGTGTAGTGTAAGCAGCAATAAGCACGAGTCACTGACAGTTCATCATCATTTCAGTGCCAACATTTCAAAGGGGCGTAATTGTATTTGTAAACAATGGCTTTAGCCGTCGATTTCTCGCAAATAAAAGCTTACCACTGAAAATTAATTACACCAGCAGATAGAGGAATGTTTCCTCTACCAGCTAGCATTGTTAATTTGGAGGAGTGAGCTTTTATTTGCGAGAAATCGACGGCTAAAGCCATTGTTTACAAAAGCAATTACGCTCCTTTGAAATGTTGGCACTGATTTGTTTGTAAACAAAGGTGCAACCGATAGCTACACCCTAAAATTTTTCGGTGTTCGGCGGTGTAGCACCAGTGTAGCTACACCGCAAAAACGAAAACGACATAAAGTTCTACACACAACAAACAAAAATTGTAGCTATAAGAATAATGCAATTTCAAATGTTCGTTTCCCAAATTTCGTAGTTTTAACTTTGAATTCAAAATGAAAGTTATATCTTTGGTTTGAAAGTTTTTCTTTCACTTCGGACTTATGATTTTTAAAGTTCATTCTGTTTTTATAATAGTTGTTCAACTGTCAAAAATACCTCTTCATAGCAAAGTTGTTGGCAGCACTGAATCGAGCTCTGCACGGAACCGAAAAATTACCCAAAATTAAGTTCTTTTCACTCATCTCCCATGTTCCGTTCAATAAGCTAATTTTGAGTAAACCGCTTATAGTAGTTTACATTTGACTACGGCAAAAATAATTAATTACTCATGAGTATTTTCTACCCAAAATTAAGTTCAATTGACTCAAATTAGAGAATATCTCATATACTCACTAGTAGCATATTGAACGATAGTCATGAAAAAGTCGAATCTCTCGTTCTGTTTTTGACAACAACAAAAAGTGAGAGTGGGATGCAAAACTCAAAATTACACAAAATTAAGTAAAAAGAACTCAAATTTAGGGTAATTTTTTTTTCTCTGTGCACGGAGAAACGAAACAACTCAAAATTGAGATAGAAAGTACTTAAAAATAAGTACTTCTCCAACACAACTGTTTTGGATACATTTCTGTTCTCATTGATGAGTACTTTTAACTTAATCTTGAAGTATAGCCAAAACAGTTACTATTACTTTTTGGATGAAAATGGCAACGCGCGCCATTTTTATTTCGGCTATGTTTCCTGCCGAAATCAAAATTTTGCCCGTTCGTAACCTCATCATCGAAGTCGTGTTCCATTAGTTGTTACAAGGGGTTATTGTAGTGAAATTAGTGTTTACTGTTCCGGAGAGGAAAAAGGTAAGTTCTAACATGTACAATATAGTATTCTTCTTCTTTTCTATTAAACAGTACTTTCTTGATTTATCGGAAAGTAACAGTAATTCAACTTAATTTCATCTTAGGTATCCGTGCAGACCAAAACGTATCTTGCGAAACTGCCTCCGCCAGCCTCCGATGACTCCACAGCTAGTGGGATAATCATTACTCAGCCTTCGGATGAATGAAGCTAATGCCATTTTAATTTCCGATCCAGTTTTCAAGTTGATTAATGTTTGCTTCTTTTTTAATTTTTTCGCCAACACAGAGCAATTAGGCTGAGTTTCATAGGTCTGCTACGTATTCCTTCCGTGCACCAGCCGGAATCGGGAGCCGAGAGTGAATTGGATGAAAATGGAGAAGGTCGGAATTTTACCCTGTCAACCGGAAGATGGTTAATACAACATGATGGATCTATTGATTTATTGCTTCGTTAATTAGATTTTATGGTAATAAGGTTCAATAAAGTCGAACATAAAACTGATTTTTAGTACTCATCACAATTATAGACAACAACTGAAAAATCCCCTATTCAACTAAATTGTCTATATTGAAAACCCGATTTTGCGTAGTTTTTATCCAACATTCATTCTTTCTGAAACAGTTAATTTCCACCCAAAACGAAGTCTTTGGAGAATACTCGAATTTGGATCATTCGCAAAGAACTCAATTTTGACTGGTTGCACTTAGGTGTCAAGATGAGTACAAAAGACTTAATTTTGAGTTGTTTCGTTTCTCCGTGTGTAAACTCCACTTCATTTGCCGCCAAAATAGAATTTGAGTGGACCAGACGAGGTAAACAAAAAGCATTTTACGGTGAAATCAGTGTACGAAAACTGCTTCCAATGACGATAGTGCAGTAGAAATCGATGGTGATTCTGCTGTTACAGCAGGGAATGATAGGTTTGTTGGAATGTTTTTTCTTAGGATCGATTAAATTTGTTTTTACATCGTAGGTACGTGGTCAGGTGGTGGTGGATTCCCGTGGTGGGTGGTGCTCCTTTATCGATGCTGATGACATTTATGCATGTCTTCACCATTCTGCTGGATATTGCTACCGTGAGTGTTCCACTTTTGTAGTATGCAATGGTTGTGGATTGTATTTTTTTGGTTTTGTAGATTCTGTATCGTCAGTTCATGGAGCACAATGGTGCTGCTGAAGACGTCGTCAAGAATGCCGTTTCCATGAAGTGATATTGGGATTGCCTTGTAAAGGGACCGGTTCTCAAAGCACTCTTCGTAATCATCGCCTGACTTTTGTTTATCGTCGTTTTGAAATGGGAAAATTCTGAAATTGCCGTGAACCCGAAGTTGGACCGAATACCTTCCTTTGTTTACTAGGACTCGGACCAAATTTGCTCTGGTCATTTTAACAATGTATTATTTTGTTTTTTGTTTATAAAATATATGAATAAACGTTATTTTATAAAGCAAGCAAATATGAGTATGGGTACTTTTAGTTAAATCTTGGAAACTATTAATCAGAAAATATTTCAAATTTGAGATAAAAACCTGGTTCGGTTAAGTTTTCGTGTACCCGTTGTTCTAAGGCTGTGTTCCATTTGGCGAATTTTCACTTAAATTTGACACTTCGAAACTAAATTATAATGTTCGAAAATCCCTCTGTTGTTGATCGGCCAATTTTCGAGAAGGTGTGTGTCAAAATTGATTCCTTGTCTGTCAGATATAAGTCTGCTGGAATAGCAGGTTAATTTGGAAATTTTCCATCTGTCAACAGCCCGATTATGTGCAAATAATAGGAAAAAAATTCGCGCGGGAATGGAAGCGATAATTTTTGACGTTTCTCACATCAGCCTTAAGTAAGCATTAGCAGTGCTAGTAACGGGCTACCATACTAGCATTATAAAGGCCCGCTATTTCGTCTTTTTAGCATTATATCAACTCTATATTAGCATACAGCACTTCATATGCATTAAATGGCTGCTTCAATCAAAGGGCTACGTTTTAATGCTTATCGGTTACTTGGGTAGTTAAAGCGCTTTGTACGTTTTTTTTTGTTACGGTCTCTTACCGTTGATTTTAGTGTATAACAAAACAATAGTTAGATGCGCAGAATTAGAAACAGTGAACTGTTAGTTATAATGTGATTAAGATAGTTAATTCACACATCCACTTCCGGTGATGATTGGAAATAGCAAACCTTATGGCTGATAAACTGTGCAGCACTCGCCAACCTACTTAATTTATCAGAATTTTTCACCACACATAAAGACTGGTGAAAGATTACAACACGTGTAAATATAAAATGAGAAAAATAAAATAAACCTGTTAATTGACGAACTAAACGATTATCATAAGAATATGAAATTAAAAAAGATAACACACAGGGGAATATCATTAACACACAATAGAACACCATTTTTGAATGATACTTACCTCCTTCATTGGCATCCGCAGTTTTAATATTTCACTATATCTTCGTAAAACTTCCAGCGGGGCATGAATCTAAGATAAAAATTACAGATTATTATAGCTTAAATTATAATATGTAACAGTACCTTAATGAAATGAATTTCATTTTCAATTACTTCCTGCTCCAATTCTAGACCATCGCGAATTAGATTCTGTTCGAAAGTAAATCGTTTGCTCTGTCTAACTTCCTTCAAATGAATTTGTTCTTCGGCAGTAACCTTCCATACCAGCACAAAATCTACCGACCTAATCCCATCGGCAAAATAAAGAGAGCTATTTACGTATGGAGTCTCTCCGTAGGGATTGCAGGGATATTCATTGCTCTCCACAGCAACTGGTTGCACTATTTCTTCAGTCTGATTGAGTGGCATGGCAATTGGTACGATACGTGCATCGTTGTCCCAGTAAAGATTCGGACTCGATCCGATCGACTTGCTATCATCAGGTCTGCAATAAAAAAATATATATATCCGCAAGGGCCGTTTTATGTCTAGATTGTAGATTTATAAGGTACCTGACAGTATTCATCTCGATGGTTGAGTTGTCCCCCTCATATAGAGAAGCAACAGACATGGCCTTTAAATCGTCAAAACCACAGGATGCGTTCAAACCTTCAAACGTCTTGCGGGCTTTGTGACCGTTGAATGCTCGATAAATGTTGTGCTTGTCTTTGTCTGCATCCTCATTAAAGAAGCTGTATAATTTTTCCTCCGGCGATGCAGACGATGTGATTGGTTCTGAGAAAACGAAAATTATTCGCTTCCAAACCATTGGCGGTTCTGCATTGGACGCTAAGGTTGATTCATTTGTTTTCATTCCATTCTTAAATTCCTTCCTTGTAGATTTTTAACTTCCAACTTTTGAACTGAGCTCAACCAGGCAGAACAAAACAGAAACCATGACTAATAATACCTACTTAAAATGTTCAGAAGGTGGGATTGGACACTAGACTAATCTGCCTGTTATTACAAAAAAAATGCCTGCCATGTAGGTAATCATACTATGAGTCTCAATAAATAAATACTTAGCACTAGCCGGATATGATATGATCATCTTGAAGATCAAGGTCAACAAATGGTTCGAATTTTCTCCTTATTTTGGCATTTAGTTTCCGAATCAACTTTTGCTGGATTCTTTTATGTGATATTTACATACCCATTAAATCACCGGAGTCGTTTTAGACAAAGTGGTAGTGCAGTCAAAATTTCATTGGTACGGAAAACTGGACTAGAATGTTATAATATTGGGGAAATGCTGGTAATGTCGGCCTAAGTGTCCCTAATTTGGGCCCATACATAAATTCAACAATCGACTAAATTTTCAATAGCAACCAAAAATATCCATTAGTAACGTCCCAATAACGCGTTCATCTAGATAAAATTGATAAATAGCAGATTTTTAGCGATGGGCCCAATCTTAGATCCATAGGCCAACATTAGAGACATTTCCCGTACAATATACAATTACTATTAATATACAATTAATTTCGCACAAAAGCTATAACAGACGAGTGCACGGATGGATTCGAGTTCACCACTCGACAAAAAGTGACAACTGCGCCCCCCCCCACGAATTGCCGGCGAAAAAGTGACGTAATTTGGCATTGGGCGCCTTGAAGACTGATCGTTCGCCCTTCGTCCGGGTTGCGGACGAAGGGCGGTCCGCCCCGCTAGAGTAATTTCATCCGCCGGGCTACCATATGGCGCTCCGGGATCCGGACGAACGGCGGCCCACCCCGCTAGAGTAATTTCATCCGCCGGGCTACCAAATGGCACTCCGGGATCCGGACGAATTGCGGACCGCCCCGCTAGAGTAATTTCCTGCGCCAAGCTACCAAATGGCGGATGGAACTTAGCCATTTTTTTGTGATTTTTTTTTTTCGCGGCGACTGATTACGTGGCAGTCATTTTTTTTTCATATCGTGCGTGTATAGACGCGTTTTTTTATCCGCGTCGTGAAATTGGCCTCCAATGGCCATCTTCAAGCAAATTTGATGGTAAGTACTGAACAGTTTGTTATTAAGTGTAATTATTTTTAAAAATTGATTCGCTGGAGGAATCCGGCTGAGTGAAGCATTCTTACTGATGCAACGCATCAATAAGGATGTTTAATTCATCCGGATTCCTCCGGTGGATCAATTTTGATGTAATTGTTTTCCAAAATTGATCCGCTGGAGGAATTCGACTGAGTTGAGCATCCTTATTGATGCGTTGCATCAGTAAGCATGCATAACTCAGTCGGATTCCTCCAGTGGATCAATTTTGGAAAGTAATTACAAATTCTAACAGACAGATCCAAAATTTTGTTGATTTTTTAAAATATTTTTTTCAGTCGGCTGCTTCCACTAATTCCGTTATTAAGGTTTGTTATTCATTCCTAGTTGAACACTCAGTCGGTTAACAACGTCCCGGTCTCAGTCGCGCAGCATCTAGTTTTTTTCGGTGTTTTTTTCCGCCCGAGTGGTTTTTTCACCCCCCATTGGGTGCCCCAAGTGACCAGTGTGCAACAGAGGAAGTGGAATTCCATGGGCCGAGCCCCTTGGAGTTGCCATCCAGCTTTAATTCACCCCGGTAATCCATCCGGTCGTCAAGCCATTTTTTCATCATCGTGCCGACCCACCAACACCAACATCACCACCAGCAGCAGCAAACGGACCATCTAGCTGCACCGGCTGATAGGTTGTTTACAACCGGCATAAGTATTAGACAATACATTTTGCAAGTCCATTGCCTCCCTATTGTAGTTTAATTTTGCCTCGTGGCGCGTGACTCTGTCTCTCACCCCTGGTAGGGGAGTATGGGTCATAGTGAGACAACTTTTTGCAAGTAGATATAAGTTTTTTTTTTTTTTTCGATTTTTTTTTTCTTTTTGATTTGTTCGTACGTCGGGCAAAAAATTTAATTACTAGTAATTAAAATTAATTAATTAGTGCAGGTTTTATTTTTTTTTCCTTCTTAAGTGGTTGCGCACCGCTTTTGCGCAACACTTATGGCATCTTCCGATGCCTACGTTACGCGAACCAGATACTATGAACCGTCTTCGAAAGGACCATGGGTTGTCTTTTTTCGGCCCAAAAATAAACCTTTGAAAACTCTCGACATAACGAGAGATTTGCTGCGTAAGTATCCGGGAATCTTGGTACACAAAGAAAGATTCAACAAACTGCGTGTAGAAGCACCGACTTATGATGTGGCAAATAAAATTGCTGATCACGAGTTGTTTAGTGTTGAGTACAACATCTACATCCCTTCTCGAGATGTGGAGATAGAAGGCGTGGTCTCCGACGCGAGTCTGACTGTCGAGGACTTGAAACATGCCTCGGGAACTTTTAAAAACTCGACATTCGCTACCGCGCTAGTGAAGATACTGGATGTAAGGCAACTGCATTCAGCATCTTTGCTAGACGGTAAAAAAGTTTATAAATATTCAGACTCGTTCCGGGTGACTTTCGCAGGTTCAGTTCTCCCAAACTTTGTTAAAATTGATGGTGCTTTTTTTCCGGTGCGACTGTTTGTACAGAGGGTATATAATTGTACCAACTGCAAAAGGCTGGGACACTCGGCCAGCCATTGCGGCAACAAAACTCGTTGTGGCAAATGTGGTGAAAACCACAAAGAGGATTCTTGCCACAAAGAATCAGTAAAATGCGCTTACTGTGGCGAGAATCCTCACCCCTTGCAGGAGTGCCCGATGTACAAACAGCACTCCGATAAAGTGCAGCGTTCAATCTCTGGACGCTCCAAGCAGACATATGCTCAAATGTTGAAGGCTGCATCAGCCGTCCAAGATGCAAACCAATTTTCGGTTTTGTCAGTTGAAGAATCGGACTCTGACTCATCCGATGAAGGTGATTCTACGGTGGTACACGCACCTTCAAAAATAGACGGTTCCTCAAAAAGAAAATGCCCCTCCCCGAAAGTGCGCCGTAAGAAAACTAAAGTCACCTCCAGACGATTGCCAAATTCCCAGGGTAATGGGGATGAAAAAACAAAACCGAAGGCTCCTGTTGATCCAATCCCTGGATGCAGCAAGAATTTTCCGCCATTGCCCAACAAAGATAAAAAAAATAAAAAAGCTGCTCCTCAAACTTCTCAAAAGAAATCCAAGTCCGAACGAGGTTTGCTAGCTTTTTCGGACATTGTGGAATTCATATTAAACATGTTCAACATACAAGACCCTCTAAGAAGCTTAGTTTCTGCCTTGCTTCCAACGTTAGAATCATATCTTAAGCAATTGACTGTTTCATGGCCCCTCCTTGCATCAATCATATCTTTCGATGGATAATTCGTCGAACGAGGTTGAAGATATGATCACTGTGCTACAGTGGAACTGCCGTAGTCTAGTGCCTAAACTAGACTCGTTCAAATTTTTACTTCACAATTCTGATTGTGATATATTTGCTCTCTGTGAAACATGGCTTTCTTCCGATAAAGAACTCAACTTCCACGATTTTAACATTATACGCCTGGATAGAGACGATTCTTATGGAGGAGTACTTTTAGGGATCAAAAAGTGCTACCCTTTCTACAAAATTTCCCTTCCTGTTCTATCCGGCGTCGAAATCGTTGCTTGCCAAATAAATGTGAAGAACAAAGATCTTTGCATAGCTTCAGTATACGTTCCACCAAGAACCTCCATTAGCCGTAGTCAACTCTGGAATCTAGTTTCGATTCTTCCATCCCCAGTATTAATTCTGGGTGATATGAACTCCCATGGTACTGGGTGGGGCGATCTATATGACGACAATAGAGCGGCTATTTTTTACGATTTATGTGACGATTTCAATTTGACTATTTTGAACACTGGTGAAGCGACACGTATAGCAAAACCTCCGGCTCGAGAAAGCCGACTCGACCTATCTTTGTGTTCAAGATCGCTATCATTGGATTGTCAGTGGAAGGTTATCAATGATCCCCATGGTAGCGATCATTTGCCAATCATCATTTCAATAAAGTGTGGCCCTCACTCTGCAGAACCATCTCGGGTTCCATTTGATCTTACAAGGAACATCGACTGGCAGAAATATGCAACGGCGGTGACAATCGGTGTCGAATCAATAGATGCGCTTCCACCATTGGAAGAATATCGATTCCTAGCCGATTTGATTTACAAAAGCTCACTGGAAGCACAAAAAAGAAAAGTTCCAAGTGCACCCTTTAAAAGGAGACCAGCCACACCTGGTTGGGACGAAGAATGCACAAAATTGTATGTAGAAAAATCTGATGCTTTCAAAGCTTTTCGTAGACACAAAACCTCCACTTACTTCGAGGAATATTCAAAGCTTGAGACAAAGCTGAAACAATTAATCAAAGCAAAAAAACGCGGTTATTGGCGCAATTTCGTCGAGGGACTCTCACGAGAAACCTCAATGAACACCTTGTGGAGGGTGGCTCGCAACATGCGTAACCGCTCATCTTTCAATGAGAGTGAAGAATACTCCAACCGATGGATATTCGATTTCGCTAAAAAGGTCTGTCCGGACTCAGTTCCAGCACAAAATATTCTTCGAGAAGCGTCTCCTAGCGGCGGCTCTCTGGATAGACCATTCTCAATGCTGGATTTCTCTATGGCTCTTCTTTCATCGAACAACTCCTCACCGGGAAGCGATATGATTAAATTCAATCTTCTGAAAAATCTCCCAGATATCGCTAAAAGACGCTTGCTAGACTTATTCAATTCCTTACTAGAAAACAACATTATACCGCCTGAATGGAGACAGGTCAAAGTAATAGCCATTCGAAAACCTGGCAAACCAGCGTCTGACCATAACTCATACCGTCCGATTGCCATGCTTTCGTGCATTAGGAAATTGTTGGAGAAAATGATCCTTCGGAGACTCGATCACTGGGTCGAATCAAATAACTTGCTATCAAATACACAGTTTGGGTTCCGCAAGAGCAAAGGAACAAACGATTGTCTAGCGCTGCTTTCCACAGATATTCAACTGGCCTTTGCACACAAGGAGCAATTGGCTTCAGTATTCTTGGACATTAAGGGGGCTTTTGATTCAGTTTCCATTGAAATTCTGTCAGACAATCTGCACAGATGTGGACTTTCTGGAATTTTAAATAATTTCTTGTACAATTTGTTGTCAGAAAAGCAAATGAACTTTTCCCTTGGACAACTGACAACTTCCAGAATTAGCTACATGGGCCTGCCCCAAGGCTCATGTCTCAGCCCTCTTCTTTATAACTTTTACGTCAAAGATATCGACAACTGTTTGGCAGAACAATGCACGCTAAGACAACTTGCAGATGACGGTGTGGTTTCCGTAAGAGGTCCACATGCCGTGGACTTGCAAGGACCATTGCAAAATTCCTTAGATAACTTGTCTTCTTGGGCTATGAATCTAGGGATCGAATTCTCGCCGCAGAAAACTGAACTGGTAGTGTTTACTCGAAAGCGGTACCCAGCCCAAATGCAGCTTAATCTTTTGGGCAG